CCTAATATGCTAAGTGTCCGGTCGTCCCTTCAACCCATCAAAGCATAATATGCTAATGATATGCTAAGGCTGCTCAACCGCTCCCTATGACGTGCACTGACCACCAGGGGGCAGACACTCGAAAGGTCAACCAGTTGCTAGGATGTGCACTGACCACCAGGGGGCAGACGTTCTGACTAGTAGGTTAGCTTGCTGCTGGGGTCCAGCTGATCGGGACTGAGCGAGACGGCCAGATATGCCCTGGAGCCCTCTCATGGTCCCTCCCCGGCTGGCTAACCTCCTACGTCCCTCCCTGGCCCCAATCGTGCACTGGTGGGGTCCCTCGCCCTGGCCTGAACCCTCTCACAATCCAGGACCCCTCAGAGAGCCGGTTTCGGCCTGATCGCGCAGGCCAGGACGAGAGACCCCACTGGTGCACTGGGCCTCTAGTGAATTATAAAGTGAAGAACTGACTGTGGGCAGGTGGGTGTGGTGGCCAGGCGATCTCATGTTACCTGAGAGGAAGTTGGTGCTCTTCCAGGACAGAGTCCCAGTGAACTCCCCATCTTCAGTTCTGCTTCCTTCAACGTATAACTGTCTGGCACTACAAAAATTTTTTATAACAGAATGAGTATTATTCATTCCTACCTTTCTGGGCAAAATACTATACTTAAATCAATTTTTCTTTTGAAAACCAAGAATGTCAAGAAAGAGAAAGTTGCACTCCATGAAAAAGGGTTATATATATTATCGTTATGTTTGATTTTCTATTTCCAAATGCTAGAATATATTATTCCTGTTATCTGTACAACAATGCTAAGATATGAGGTGACTATGAATATTCTAGAGTCTACTGTCAATAATTAGACTCAATTACATCTAATGACAAGTGTTACAGAGGTTAGAAGAAAGACTCTATTCCATAATAGATATCTCAATAAAGTTAGCAAATTAAAAAACTGACAACAAATCTATAAGGATAAAAGTAGATCAAAACCCATGACTAGCCAAAGCCGGTTTGGCTCGGTGGATGGAGCGTCAGCCTGCGGACTAGAGGGTCCCAGGTTCGATTCCCGTCAAGCGCATGTGCCTTGGTTGCAGGCACATCTCCAGTGGGAGGTATACAGGAGGCAGCTGGTCGATGTTTCTCTCTCATCGATGTTTCTAACTCTCTATCCCTCTCCCTTCCTCTCTGTAAAAAATCAATAAAAATATATTTAAAAAAACAACAAAAAACCCCATGACTAAAATGAGGATCAGCTAATCAGAAAGACAGCTGTTTCAAAACAGAAGTGTTTGAATTTTGGTTAAGATATTCTGTAACACATGAGTAAGACACCTGGATGAAAGTATGTCCTATAAATAAATTTCTAAAAGGTAATTAAAGAATATTAGGTATTGGAAGCCATCATTTAAAGTAAAAGTGTTAAGAAAGTTAGATAGCATGAATATGTGTCAGCTTTTGAAAGCTACCACAAAGATTTACCTGGACAAAGAAGCTTCCCATTTCTATCAATAGGTCTCAAACAGCTGTTCTCAGCTACAAGTAAGAAGAAGCTGGTCAGTGCACCAAAGAAAGGAAACTCAAGAGCCTCTACTGTGTTAATTAGCAGGAAGCTATGATAAGCTAAAACAAAAACAATCCCTCCTTCCCCAACAACCAGAAAACAAGTACAGGCAGTCTTCACTTTGTACTGCAGTAGCACAGGACTGTAAGAATGCCTTGCAAGCTGAAACGGTGCAAAGCAATCTTAACAGTGAGAAAAATTACAATTTTCTTGCCCTTTAAAAGATATTGTCTTATTTCTTTGTATAAAACATGTCAATAGTGTAAACAGGGCTTGCTTTCTTCAGCTACTCATATGACTTATGCTACACAGTGAGCATCTTTTCTTTTCACAGCAAACTGTCATACTCAGATTTCTAAGTTTGGATCAGCTTCCAATATTTTACATTTTGTGCTTTCAACCTCATGAAATATGCCCAAGAGCCCCTTTAATGTGAACTGTTTTTTTTGCTAGCATCACTTCTGGGACAGCTTCATTCTTTCTGTCACAACCACGGTCCTCACTTCTGTGGATAAGTGCCCATTCATTAAGTTCCTCCACCTGCGTGGCTAGTCTCTTGAATGATTGCATGTCAGCACCCCCATGTCAGCTATTTCTTCTATCACTCCACGTGCTTTGTTTCTTTGCTGCACATTCCTCTTGGTTGGCCAGTTTGATGACCTGTCCTTATAAAATGTCACATGGGTTTACCACTGGGAGAAAAGGAGGCAATGAACTATACACACTCTACTGTCCGTGTGGTGAAATTAATGATCAGACATGCAGTGATGTACGTTTGTTATTTCTGTAGTGATCTGTGGACTGAAGCTGGAAGCCACGTTTGTGCTTTACACAATTACGCAGTTAAATCCAGTGGTAGCTGGAATTTGAACTGTGTTTCTGGGTCACTGTTACATAATAAACTGTGATAACTGAAACTTGTGCACATAGGAACTTTGCAGAGACTATCTCTTTAAAATGTTAGGTGATTTTTTTTTATGCCCATTAAATGGATTAGGGCAGGTGTGCCCTATTTTTGAGGATGCAAATTCCTGTTTTGTGGGAAGGAGCACACCAGGTTTGGTCCAGTCAGAATTCTTACAAAGTTGGACATGAAATGGGGAGGTTGGGAGGGTGGAGCCTTCTGAGAGGGAAAGTATGGCATGGGTCTTAGAAGTCCTAATTTTATTAGATGTTGGCAGAATCTCCTTTCTGAGATTCTTGAGTTCTGTATTCTATATTATAGTCATATGAAACTAGCACATAATTCTAATACAAATTTTTTTATTGTTAATCCTCACCCAAGGATAATTTTCAATTTATTCTCCCCCCTCATCCCCCCAAAAAACCACCTTCTAGGATTTTGAGTGAGATTGCATCGGATCCACAAATTAATTTTGAGAGAATTAGCCTCAGCAATATTGTGTCTTCCGACCCAGGAACATGGGACATCTCTCCATTTATTCAGGTCGTTTTTATTTTTCACAGCAATGTTCTCTAGTTTTCAGTGTACAGGTCTTGCACACATTTTGTTAAATTTATCCCCAAGTATTTTATGATATCTTATTCTAAGTGTTTTCTTAATTTCATCTTCCATTTGTTTTTGTTACTAGTAGGTAAACATACAATGGACTTTTGTATATGATTTGAATTCCTAATAAACTCACTTATTATTTCTAGTAGCTTTTTAATAGAATTCTTAGGATATACAAATGGACCATAGCACATCAACAGTGCTCACCATCACTGCTTAAGGAAAATACAATAGAACACACCATAATCTACCAATTCATATTCACTAGAATGGCTACAATAAAAAATACAGTGCCAACTAGTGCCCTGACATATTACTGGTTCAGCCACTCTGGAAAATAGTATGGCAGCTTCTTATAAAGCTAAACATAAATTTGCCATTTGACCCAGCAATTCTAATCCTGCATAAAACAGGATATCCACACAAAGACAGTGTTTATAGCAGCGGTCGTCAACCAGTGATCCGTGGACCATTGGTCCATGAGGTCCAAAAGGTTGGCAACTGCTGGTTTATAGCACACTATTCATAAAAGCCAAAAAGTGAATGAATCAATCAACTGGTAAATGAATAAACAAAATGTAACATATCATAGAATGGGATACTAGGAAAAGGAATAAATTACTGATACACAGTAAATCATGGATGAATAAAAAAATGGAGTGCTAAGTGAAAGAAGCCAGACATAAAAAAAACAACTTATTATATGGTTCCATTTACATGAAATGTCCAGAAAAGCAAATCTAGACAGACAGAAAGTAGGTGAGTGGTCATCAGGGGCTCAGAATGTGAAAAGGAATGAGGGATTGTTTTGGAGTGATGGAAATGTTCTAAAACTCAATTACAGTGATGGTGGTAAAACTCTATACCTTAACTAATAATCACTTAATTAGGCTTCCAACAGGTATTTGATATATAAACTGTGGTATATAAACTGTACCTCAATAAAAGACTGTTAAAGAAAACCCAATGCTGAGTGAATAGTGAATTTATAGAATGCTATACTCAGTATCTTAATTTATGTAAGTGTAAAAACACAATATACACATACACATATATAAAGGAACATAATATATACAATACGAGTCCACAGACTAGACACACACCCAAATCAGATATAGTGGTTGCAACTGGGGAGGGAGAGAGAGCGGGTCTGAGGAGGACACAGAGGGCTTTGTAATGTTTCAAACAAAACAAACACATGCCAAAATGTTAACATCTGTCCATTTTGGGTGGTACGTGCATGAGTTTTCCCTAAATTATTTTGTGTACTCTCCCATAATTTTTTTCAATTAAAAATCAAAACTAAATTAAACCCCAAAGCCAAAAGCAAACATAAACGATTACCTAGTTCCTTCATTAATTTTAATTCCTTTATGGCTTTAATTCGAATATCAAACACCACCTAAAATAGAGAAATAAACTAATGACTGTGTATAAGTTGAAAACAGTGGGAGGAGAAGAAAATGGAGATTGTCAGTGAGTGCATGTACAGATTGAATTATTAATTACCTGATATTTGGTAGTTTTTGCCTACTTAAAAAACTTTTTTTTCATCCCTTTTCTCTCTTCTACATAGTCAAAATAAAAAACTTAGATTTTAATGGTCAAGTTTTTACCAAACTGATATTAACTGGAACAGAACTCCTATAGAGAATCAGAGAAACAATTCTAGCTAGAAAAAACAAAAAAACTGACAAACCAGTAACCTTTTTGATGAGAGGAAACAAAAGAAATTTCAGGTCATCACCTTCCTTTATGTTAAGAATGATATATTCAGTGCCAATAAGCATAAATTATATAAAAATATATAATACTAACCCAAGGGCACTATTTAAAATGTTTAAATTACTTTATTTTAGAACTGTTTTCATTTTAGTTTAGGCTAATTGCCTCTAGGGCAGCGGTTGCCAACCGTTTGGACTCACAGACCACCAGTGGTCTACGGACCACCGGCTGGCAACTGCTGCTCTAGGGCATAAAATTGTGAAAATTTAGGGGTAAAACTGATGTCAGAGATCCACTCTACCCTCTCACACTGTGCTAAGAAGGTTCAGGGATTTCACCAAAGTCCCCCTCTTAGGGTCAGGGTGGTAGGTCTTAAACTTTCCCCTTTACTATACCAACAAATATTAATGCACCTTACGAAATTATAATACTCACAGAAAAGAAATCATTCTAATGGTTCTTTTAATGTTATAGAAAAAAAGCAATGAACTGAGACTACATAAATAAAAAAAGATGTTTTCTGAAATAATGTTTAAGGAAACTAGTATCACAGTCTTTAAATGAAAGACTGGAGGACGCCCTTTTAAAGAGAGGATGGCTTTATATAGAGCAGTGGTCGCCAACCTTTCAGACCTCACGGACCACCAATGTCCACGGACCACCGGTTGTTGACCACTGCTCCAAAGGTTTCCTTAAACCAGCAGTCACCAACTTTTCGGACCTCACAGACCACTGGTTGGCGACCGCTGATATAGAGCACAGAGTATAATGTAGAGCAATTTCAGTTAAACTTAAAAAACAAAATAACACAAAACATATATACCTGTTTTAAAATTACCAAAATGACCCTTGAAAACAGCATTTCACATTTTGATAAAGATAAATATATGTTCATATTTTGATATAGCATTATATATTTGACAACAAAGCCAGAGGATTCCATTCCAGTTAAATAGCTAACTCCCACTTTCTAATTCTAGGCTTCGGAGGGGGAAAAAAGGCACATATTTTCTTGAGATATGCCAAGGACTAATAATAAGTAAACAAGCAGTAATCAAATATTAAAAATAAAACATTGATTTCTTAGGATTTAGAAGTCTGAAACTTTTCTGAAAGAGTAAGGTATTGCTTTCTAAATAAAATTGTTAACTAAAACACTGTCAACTAAACTTTAATTATAATCTACTCACTGTGTTAACAGTTGCTGATATTTTAACTTGCTCCTCTTCAGATTCTAATTGACATAAATTATTAACTTGGACCCAGTCAACCTCATTCACAGTAGTGATCCATTTCCCTTGTTTGGTCAACAAACTGTAGGTAAAAGATGTTTAAAAAAAAAGTGTCTTTACAAAGCACTTTTATGGATCAGGAAGAATCAGAAAATCAATACTGTTTCTCTGGCACCACTTCTAAAATCTGCCTCTGTCCCTTAATGTGACTCACTGAAGGTGACCAACTTCTACTGAGCTGGCTTTATGAAAGTTGACTATATTTTTAGGACAGTGTCAGGCAGTACTCTATGGAGTTTATATTCTATGGAATCTATATTAATGACTCAGATATTCTTTGACTTAGACAAATAATTTGTTGCTACACTTTTCAAAGAGAACTGTTGTAATTGAACAATCAGCTGTTGACTTCTGCCTGCACACTTATAACAGTAGGAGGGCTTTAAGAGCAGCTTGCGCAAGGCCCACCCACAGGACTCCGATTTAATAACAGGACAGCCATGTACAGTTGTGCAGACCGACACTGCATCAAAGTGCCACAGCTAAGGGGTATCACTTATATCATACACACTGAATATTTGTATTTTTATTATAGAGTGCTATTTTATGATAGCAGATAGCAGTAGAGTGTCTTGTTCTAACAAGCCTTTCCTACAGGTAGTAGTAAAAGATCTTAAGAAAGAAGTAACTTCTTTCTAATTCACATGGAGGCACTGAATGGCTAGTGGAAGTCCTCTTTGGGAGTGTGTATCAGAGCCCTGAAACACAATCCTACACTTTATTTCAGTTATTCCTATTTGGACCCCACGTGAAGTTAGCAATCCTAAATACAGCAAAGTTTTAAGCACAAAGATGTTCCCTGAAGAAACCCTTAAAATAGTGAAAAGCTGATGATGACAATGATGATGATGCTAGCTAAAATATTCAGCACTCACTATGTGCACACTCTGTAAGCACTTAACTCTTTCAATACTTACACCTTTATGAAGTTGGTACTAATTATTATCCCCATTTTACAGAAGAAGAAACTTCTTTAAGCAGGCAGAGAGAGATGAAGTAACTTGCCCATGGTCACACTGTTAGGAGGTGATAAAGCTGGAAACAGATCCAGGCAGCTGGTTCCAGAGCCCTTGTCCTTACCCACTACCTGTACTGCCTCCCACAGGAGCAGCTGGGTATACTGTAACATCAACACTGATTCTTATGTAGAATGAGTTTTATGAAGAGTCTACAAACATGGGGAAAGCAAAATATTGCTATCTGCAAAATAACTGGCATGTTCAAAAAGAAACATTTTCAAAACAAAAAAACCAATGATCTGAGCTCAAACAAACAGGAAAGCTAATAATGGACTGACATGCTTGGGAGGTGCAGTGACACTGTTGCCAGTCTCCAGTCTTCAGTTCTGTATTTCCCAAGTCCTAATAAGTGTATTACTTTAAAAAAAGAAATACATAATAAACTTTTTAATTAGATACACATGGTGGGGAAGTAAATGTCTGGAAAACACTTACCCAAAAGAATAATAATGATAAATGTTACACAAAATTAGCATAATCACAAATGCTCCTGTGTCGCAGCCACTAAATAATACAGAGGCTCTGTAATCTAAGTATATTCACAGCACTGATAAAGCAGGGAACTGACTAGGTTTGTAACCTAAAGTCTCCTATATGTGGAATTTGGGGGGAGGGGGGAGTTACAGTATGTGACACAATGACTACAGAAACTGACACTCTACAGCAGTGGTTCTCAACCTTCTGGCCCTTTAAATACAGTTCCTCATGTTGTGACCCAACCATAAAATTATTTTCGTTGCTACTTCATAACTGTAATGTTGCTACTGTTATGAATCGTAATGTAAATATCTGATATGCAGGATGGTCTTAGGCGACCCCTGTGAAAGGGTCGTTCGACCCCCAAAGGGGTCGCAACCCACAGGTTGAGAACCGCTGCTCTACACTGTCAAGACAGTGTAGAGAGGCAGTGTTTCTGGGTTCCAAATGCAACTTATGGAAACGCGGGCCTAGTTCCCCATGTAACTGCCCTATGTGGGCAGCTGGGAGGAGCTCAAGAGTCATAAAAAGGATGAAAAACTGAATTGCCGTACGGGATTTTTGTGACAAAATAGTCAGGTAAATTTAGCTATGATCTTAATATAATTCTCATAAAAAATTTCAGGAACAAACTTTGTGAGACTATGTCTTCAATTTTATAAGGAGCGCTAATCAGAATTCCTCAGATAGGATTCTGCTTTATAGCCAACTAATCTTGACTGTATCTTGTTTACATCTACATTATGTAGTTATCACATTACAATATCATTTTTCTCCAACTTGCCTAACCTAGAACATTCCTACTTACAAAACACAGAACACAATGTCTAGAAATAAAAAGAAACATTTAACTCTTAGTAAAATAAAGCTTTAGAGTTCTAAAAGATAGTGCTCTAATTTAAATAACTTAAAAATTTTTTTCGAGTTACCTGTTATTATCATTACTGGAATCCTGAATCAGAATCGAGCTTCCGTTTCTGAGGCCTTGTTCTCTGAATGTCTTCTTCAAGTCCTCCTTGGGAATGGCAGTCCAGCTCTCTCCACCTACAGATGCAGTATTGCTGGTGAAGATGACACCTCCCGGAATTGCTAAGGCTGTGAATACTGTGCCCACTTCTGCATTAGCTGGGAAGACCTGTGGAGATTCTACCAACTGCCGACACTCTTCACTGCCTGTTGCCAGATGAAGAACATTCAAAAGCAGAGGTTCACAGTCACTACCAGTGGGAATCTGGATTCCGCCAACCTACAATAATGCCAAGACAACCATTAGTATAGTTTACATTTGCCAACATGAAGTCAACACAGTAAAGTAACAAAAGACTCCTCTTGCAGAATAATTCTCATGTTTTTTCTTTTCAAGTGAAGTTCTCACAAATGTCTTTTAAGTATCAGAAAAATAACTTTAGATATTTCATTTGAAACTTTCTCTTAGCTGTCTTTTATTTTTTAGGAGAGAAATCTGGAGTGGGGACAAAGATGTATGAGTCCTCAGTGGTGGTAATGAAGCCTTGGGAATAAGTGCAAGGGAGAGTTCACTGAGTGGCTGAGATGTTCCTCACCCTTTTCCTGACTTAGAAAGTTCACTCTGCTCTTACAAGTCACTTCTACTCCCTAATTCAATAGAGCTATAAGCCTCCTTCTGAGTTCCCACAGGGAATATGCACAGACACCCCGACTCCCCAGCACTTAGTGCAGTTATACCATAAAACCTGAATCTTTGTATTTAGCTCCTGACACCTAGCCTGGCAGAGAGGAGGTGCTCAATAAATATCTCTTTAACACATAACTACTACTAACTGTACCTAAAATTTATTAAATATTTCAATAGTTTTCTAATCCCTAATTGCCTTCACATATGCTGAATAAAATTTCATTACAATGACTTAAAAAATCCAAAACTATCATGAATATTTCTTCAATATTTTCTTACCTCCACTCCATTCCATACGAAGATGTCTTCCTCATCAGCAATTTCAATGTCACACAGTGTCAGATCATCTCCTAGGACGAGGAGGTAGTCAGTGAGACCATTCATCTAAAGAAAGAGCTGAGACACTTAAATATTTTTTTTTGAAAAATCTTTCCCATTAAGAAAAATTAAGAAGGTAGTAACTATGTTTATTATATCACTTTTATCTTTATTCCTCCCATCACACCCTTTAGTTTTTTTCCTTATGTAAGCATTTCCCTATGTTGCTGCATAAGTTTTGTGAGCATGACAGCAGGAAAAGAGTTTAATATAAAGTCAACTGTACTTGACCCTGTGAACAGGAGTAAGAATTAGGCATCAAATGGTCCCAGCTCCACTACTAATTAGCTGTTATGTCCTTGTGTACTTCAAGTCTCTACACTTCAATTTTCTCATGTATAAAATGGGGATAAAGGAATTTTGTAACAATCAAATGAGATAATTTATATAAAACACTTACCTTAGTATTTGGCAAAGTGAAGCCCAAAATAACTGTTACCACTGTGACTGTTATTATTACTGTTTTGTTGTTATTTAAAGGAAGTAAATACTTTCAAGCTCTCAAAGTACATTTGTTTGTTTTGCTACAAAATGTGAAGCTAAGAGTTGGGTTAAAAAATCATGCTACATAGCCCTGGCCGGGTGGTTCAGTTGATTGGAGCACTGTCCTGTACACCAAAGGTTACAGGTTCGATTAATTAACAAATTAATTTGGTACAGAGGCAGCCTTAAATTTCAGAAAATATAAAATGTTTCCATGTTAGCAAAATTTTACATGTTACATAAATTGGACACATTATAAACTGGATAAATTACATAGTTAACCTCGATGAGGGGGTGGGGGGATGAGAAGAGATAAACCAAAGAACTTACATACTTAAATGCATAGCCCATTGACATGGACAATAGGGTAGTGAAGATGGGGGAGGGGGGGAAGGGGAGGGGCTGAGAGGAGGGGTGGAAAGGGGAGGAAATGGGAGATACTGTAATACTATCAACAATAAAAAAAAATTATAAGTAAATTTTTAAAAAAAAGAAAGAAAGTAATAGGTAGGGGCGGAAGACTGGCCAGGAGTAGAAAATCACAGATGAGCCCCACAAAAATATAAATATATAAAATGAACTGCTGTGTCTTAATATTTATCTTACCATCAAGTGTCTGATAGATGTGAAGTCCTGCTGGTACAAACTTTGCAACACTAAGGACCATGTCTCCTTCCCAAAATTCTAACAGCTACAGAATATTTGTAAAAGAAAAAGAGAACAAGAAAAGTAACATATATCACATTTCCAGATTAAATAAGACAGGTAATGTGCCAATATACATATGTGGAAGATACAGAGAGCAAACAAATGAATACCCCCATCCCACCCAAAAGGGAAAGTAAGGAAAGAAGATATCACTCATTGTTACATCAAAGATGGTTAATCTCCCCCATTAGTGATGGAAAAATCTTGGCATACACAAAGGGCACAACAACCATCTAAACAATTCTATGTAACTTATGGGAAGACCACTTTTATCAGAGGCAAACTGACCAACGTGCCAGCCCAGGAATCTGTCCAAAAGAGCAAAATGATTTAATCAGTGCTGTTCAGAAAAAGCGGCACTGACTCTAACACCTGAAAGGAATGCTTCCCACTATAAATTTAAACCGTGTAATAGATTATCGGGGGTTTGTTTTATAAGTTTGTAGATCCAAGACTCTGGGGACTGTGGTAACCTCTACAAAATAACATCACCCATAAAGATTAGTTCTATTTAGTCTCTCTCCACAATACCACAAGACAGTTCTCTTAAGAAGAAATTTCATATTTATAAACGATTAGTTAACTGTCAATCTCACAGCCCCTTGCCGGTGGCTGGCTTCTAAGATTAACAGACCTGCAACTTAAAGGTCCTTTTCATTTATCACCTAATGTCATCTTAGGGTCAGATCCACAACTCCACTTCATCAACATTGCCAGGACTGGCTCCGAAATGAACTTTTAATGCAAAAGTTCAGAAATATTAGACAATTTTAGAAATCCTGATGCTGATTCAACATTTAAATATAATTCAAATCAACTAAAGTTAAAAAAAAAAACTGGCCTGCTTTTCTTTGTACAATAGGAAAGTCAAAAAAAGGCTAATAATTTTAGTAATTGATAGTTCAGAAAATTCAATTATTTCCGGAAAAGAAAAAAAAAAAAGCTTACATTTTCTGTTTCCCTTTTCCTAGATCAGGAAGTAGAGTGGGAAGAAAGAGTAGGAAGACCAGGACAGGAATCCTAGTTCCACCACTAACTAGATGTCTGACCTCAGACAATCACAAATAAATCACAATCTCTTCATCTTGGGGTTAGCTTGTCCCAGGAGGTTAAAGAACCAAATGACGTAATTAATATGAAAGCCCTGGGGGTAAAATAAAGAGCAGTCTTGTTATTGTCATTAAAATACAACTGGATAAATTATTTGGAAAAAATGATTACGAGAATGTTTGTTTGATATAAACCAATAGGTATTTTCCTTCACTTAGCAATCTTATTAATAAACTAGAGGCCCAGTGCACAAAATTCGTGCACGGATCGGGTCCCTAAGCCGGGCCAGTGATCAGGGCTGGCCAGGGCCTTCCTTCATTCCGCACCGCCCCCTGGTGATCAGCATACATCATAGCGGGCAGTCAAACTCCCAAGGGGACAATTTGCATATTAGCCTTTTATTATATAGGATGCTATTCTGTACTGAAAGGTAGAAGTGAGCTGCTTTTATTTGTTCAGTAGTTCTTAGTTTTAGACAACATGCTTATCTTTATCTCTTCATTACCTTTAAAAACACTTTTTACATTTATTCAAAAAGAGACAACTTGGAACTCTCTCCCAAAAATAAAATATGCCAGTTTGATTCTGCCCCTGCAAAGCTCCTGCAGGACTATGCCTTGATTGGCAGAGAAGCCTCTCTCTAAAAGACTGACCAGTGAGGGGAGAACACCTGAGCCATCCCTCTATGGAACTAAGCAGCTTTGAAAAATAAATAGTCATATCTTAAATAGGATTTTTGAAAAGAAATCCAGCTTGAGATGGACCTTAATGTCTAAATTAAGAAGAAGTGCAGCTAAATTACCTGAAATATTGATTGTCGAAGATCTCCCAAAGTTTTTCTTTTATCAAAGGTTAAATCCCACACGCTTTCTGTTTGAGAGACTACTGGGTGCAGGGCTCCATTGAAGAAATGATAATGAGGGCCCAGGTGGAGATGCAATTCAAAGATATTGTTTGTAGAATCATATTCTGTCCTTTAAAGAGGCATAGAAAGTACATAAATGCTATGTTTTTACAACAGTTTCATTTCAAACCAAAAATATTTGATTTACAATATAAATAAGTTCTCCATTCCACCTAAGTAATTATAATTAACATCATTTTCTTCCATGCTCCAAAATGACTCATTTCAGCTTCTCAATAAATAGCAAAATTTCAGCTCTGCCACCATGCATTCCAAGGAAAATGTATTTTAACGTACATTGTGCAATGTTATTCTGAATACTGACACTCAAACTCTTCCAATCCTGAGATTATAAACAAAATGCTAGAAACCTGCTCCTAATAACTGTGAAGTGTCAGATTTGCAAACTTTTAATTCATCCTGACTTCCACTAGCTCCATAGAATTTCCCTTGAAATATCTGAGGTTGATCTAATAATCCTCCCGAGTCTACTCCCTCCAGGCCCAATGTCCTCAGCAGCAGCCTTGAAGCACGGTGCCCAACACTCTACTCCAGGCAGTTGGGCCAATGGAAAGTGGAGGAGACTTTTGCCACCGTCCAGGTACTTCTGACACAGTCTATTAATGTGGTCAAAGACAGCATCAGCTTTTTTGATGACCACATGACTAAAACCTCTTGGTGTTTTTTTGTTTGTTTGTTTGTTTAATACCATCTGCTAAGCCACACCACTCATGCAGGTTATTTTTTATCCTTAAGGTATATTACTCTTTTAAGTTTTTAAATTTTTAGTGTCTTGATTTTTTTTTTTTTTTAGTGTCTTGATTTTTGAGATTTCCTTTCATCTTGGCTTGCCATTCAATCTACCTGCTATTTTCTCCCCAGGTTCAAGGCAATGATAAAAATGTTGAACACACCCCTGCTACATAAGCAGCCACCTCGGTCCACGAAAAGACCATGGGACTTCCATTTCTCTAACCCAATACCCCACAGACCATGTCAGAGAGCAAATAAAGAACCAATTCTTCAGGGGCCAAGATTAGACATCCAAAGAAAATAATGCTGAGACCATTAAGTTCTCACAAAACATCCCCTTCATAATCCATTACAAGTTTTTGACCAAGACTGATAGTAAGCCCCTTAGTTTGTAGAATCTACATTTCCTTCCTTTGCCCACCTCTGTTCTTCTGCCAGTTCTCCACAACTACTTAAATATGAGGGGTGATTTTCACAGCAGGTTCTCTTTGTACCAAGGGAATAACCTGACAGGCTAGGATACAATTAATTTAGCTAACTATGTGCTCACAGATTTCTCTAGTCTTCTTAGGCTTCAATTCTTACTTAGCAATGGCCATTTACAAGTCATTATTTCGCTCACTCTCACACGATAAGGATAATTTCAAAGTCAAAGATAATCTCACTATAAAAATTCAGCTGAAAACAAATATTGGCATTAACTAGATGACTTTTTTCTTTCTTAATTTTCATTATTAAATACTTAAGACCTAATTTAGATTAATTCTCCAGAAAAACCATTCAATCTCTAAAAGTAAGTTGGTTACCTTTTTGTTTGCAGTTCAATGTTGGCTGCATCCATTTCATTCAGCAAATGACATGGAACCCTGTATCTTGGATTAGCTCGAGCTGTGGACAAAATTTTTCATTAACTTATGCTGACTAAATGAAAACTGGTTGCTGAAAATTAGCAAGGAAAACTAGAAAGCTTTATCTGTGTGAACAATCATTTTCTCTGGCTCTGTTTTCCATCTGAAAAATGAAAACATTAGAACAAATGACAGGTACACAGTTCCTTAGGTCAAGTTAGAAGAATTCCACTTTCTCAACTCTCCTTAAATATACCTTTTAAAATGAACACCATTTTCTTTTTGATAACAATTGTAATAATCTGTCACTGTAAAAATTCTGAAAATCATTTTAAAATTGATATTACCTATAATCTCATTCCCAAAAGATACCGCTAAAATATATACTTTTGGTCTTTTTTTCTATACTACACAATGTGTCTTGTACACACACACACACACACACACACACACACACATTTAAAGCAATTAAATTTGTTACAAAATGGAATTATTTTCAACAAATTTGTAACTTGCTTTTTCATTGCATATACTGTTGGGTATTTTTCCAAAGCTTTAAATGACTGCAGAGTTGTCCATTCTTTAAATAGCATAATTAATCTAACCAATCTTTCTGTTAGACATTAAGGTGATTTCCATTAGTCATTATTACAAAACAATGGGGTTAACAAACATCTTTGAACATAAACAGTTATGCACAGCTCTGATTATTTCAAGACCAATTTGTAGAAGTAGCATTAATTTAAGGGTTTTAAACACATACAACCAAATTGGCTATATTACTTTATATGCCTACTAGCTATAGAGGAAATGCCAACTGTTGAGCATCAGAATCTTAAGAAATATTTGACTTGGTAGGAAAAGAGTGTCATCTCAATGCTGTGTTGTTGTTTTTTAAACCTCACCTGAGGATATTTTTTCCATTGATTTCTAGAGAGAAATCAATGGGGAGGGAATGGGGGAGAGAGAGAAACATATATGAGAGACACATTGATTGGTTGCCTCCCCTACACACCCCTACCTTTGGTTCCCAGGCTGATGCTCTAACCACTGAGCAAAAATCAGCCAGGACTCAATGCTGTTTGGATTCACATTTTTTATTATGAGTTAGGTTGAATTTTTTTTTAATTTTCTTTTTATTAATTTCTTTTTTTATTGTTTAAAGTATTACATATGTCTCCTTTTTCCCCCCATTGACCCCTCCCTGGCCACTCCCACCCCCCAGGACAAGCCCCTACCGCCCCAGTGTCCATGTCCATTGGTTATGCTAACATGCATGCATAGAAGTCCTTTGGTTGATCTCTTATATCCCACCCGCCCTCCCCTGCCTTCCCTCTGAGGTTTGACAGTCCATTTGGTATTTCTCTCTCTGAATCTATTTTTGTTCATCAGTTCATTATATTCCACTAATGAGATCATGTGATACTTATCTTTCTCTGACTGGCTTATTTCGCTTAGCATAATGCTCTCCAGGTCCATCCATGCTGTTGCAAATGGTAAAAGTTCCTT